AGACATCCTTCCTTTTATTTCCTCTCTTGCACTTCCTGTTTTCTGCCTCTCCATGACAAGCATACCCAGACAGAGCCCAGGCTGTCCTTGCCTCCGTTCCACTTCCATGCTTAGGCGGGCAAATAGATTCCCAGGGCCCTTCTTGCAGGCAGGTTATCAGCTAGTAACGGCATTCACCTTTCGGTAATGGTGGCCCAAGCCTTGCGACTTAAAACCATAAAGAGATGACCTTTCTCACAGAAGGAGAAGCCTGGAACAGAGTAGTTGCTGGCGTGGCTTCAAGTACTCAAAAAATTCAGGGTGAGAGCTTTGCAATTCTCTTGGCTTTTCCCTCACAGGTGGAGCTCTAACTATAACATTCAAGTGCCGGCTGGCACAGAAAGAAGAAAAGGCAGCAAGGGTTTTCTAAAATAGTCTACCCAATAACTTCTTGTGTTCCAAATGCCACTCCTATCTATATGAAAGATGAGAAATGCAGTTTATTTTTAGATGGGAATATTGACATTCCCAATACAGGGCTTCTATTGGTAATCAAGAGTGTAGGTAATTAGCAATATCCACCATGAACAGAGTGGCAAGCTGGATGTGTGGACTCTGCCTAAGTCAACTGTGTGCTCCAATCCAACTTGCACTACACACAGCTCTGCCTTGGGACTCTTCAGGTGCTGGTCTAGCTTTTAATAAAGCAATACACCCCCTACACCCTCATTCCACTGCTGTTCTCATGTAATAGGAGTGACTGGCAGAGCTGGGTTTGGGAATTCCCGGAGCTCTTGGCTATGTGCCGTCTAAAAGCATTAACAACAGTCTTTAATTTCTAATGACAGTCGGAATCTCACTATGGTGGAGCAGTCAAGTGAATGGCAATTAATTCTCCATGCTAAGATGACATGGATACTGAGTAAGGTGCCAGTGCCCGAGCCATGCTCCAGACTCAGGTGTGGCTCCTGCTGGGATCCTGGGAAATCCCTAATGCCCTTTTATCCCAGGGGTTCTCAAATGTTAGTGTGCATTAGAATCACTTGAATGGCTTGTCAAAACACAGATCGCTGGGGTCCACCTTCAGAGATTTTGGTTCAAAAGTTCTAAGTAAGGCCCAAAAGTTTGCATCTCCCACAATTCTCTGCTGATGCTGACCTCCCTGGTCTGGTGTAACTTATAGTAAACTTGCATTACTGGAGATCTCCCAAATGAATCTTTACTCCTTGCAGCCAAAAGAAGCTGCTTAATATACCCTTTGAGTTCAGACAGAAGCCCATAGGATCGAGGACAAGATCTAATGACAAACACCATATCCCTCAGAACCCTGCCTACACTCTGGCGGCTCCAGTTACTGGGTCAAATTTCACTAGTTCTTTCTTCCCTTAGGATGAGTACTTTCCTGAATGACCACACAGTAGGTTATGAGAGACTTACAGCCTTTAATCTTCAGTGCAGAAAACACATTTGAATTCCAGGAGTGAATTCATCTACATTCAAGCAGGGCCTACACACACATTCATAAGAAAGCACAAGTGATCATATCACTGCCTTGGATTTAAAGCGAATGACCAAATAAATGAACAAAAATCTAGTTGTATGTCATATACCACAAGGAGCAAAGAATGAGTAATATATAATCCCTGCTTTTGGATAACTCAGTGTAATTGGGGATACACACTTGCAAACCAATACATATTTTGATCAATATGGTAAGTGCTATGATAGTGTATGGACAAAATTGTGGTGTGGAAGCAAAGAAGATAGGAAGTCTACGGGAGGGAATCAAAGAAGGCCTCAGCCCAGATCTACTCGAAGAAATTCTGCGGAATTTCATTTATACTTATATTTATACATTGCTAATTGCTATGTTAACCTCCTGGGTAGATGGACATTTTCTTTCAGTCATCTTAACCGAGCCTACAGAGATTCCTCCCACCCCTTTCCCTGCCAGAAGAGTAGTTTCCTGAGATATGAACCCACCAGACTCAACTTTTCTATCTTTCCTGCGAATGGGATGATAGTTCATCCCTCCCTCGACCTCTACCTCTACCCTGAGGTAGTTCACAAGGACTCAACTGCCACCACCCAAAATAAACCCATTCAAATAGGACTCAGGTTGGAAAGAACGTTACCAGGCATTTTACCCAAATAAGGATATCCATTACACCCCACTCTACAGATTGGTAGCTAGACTTAGAGGAAAGATCATCAAACATGAAATCAGAATATCTGGAATTAGAAACCCAACTTCTCACTTAGTACTTTAGTTATCCTGGCAGAGATATTAAACTATTTCACCTTCCTGAAACTCCACTTTGTCAATAAAATGGAAGTAGTGTTATGGTCTTTACAGGAACTGTGAGCTTAAGGGATACTTATCCTACTATAAAGTAGTAAGTGGAGTCTACAATTTCAATTCTGTAAAATATGGAGCCACATTTTCCCAAGATTAAGTAAATTGTTTGGGCTGAGCCTGCCCAGTAAGCAGGTCAGGAATTCCAGGTCTCACAGTGGTCTGGCACCCTCTGGTGGGAACTGTTAAATAATGATAGGAGGATTCTGGGTCCCAAGCTGGTTTGAACTTCTGAGGAAATGGCAGTGATTATAGGACTCTTCCAGTTTGTTGGGGCCCATTTCTTTGTCCAATTATCTGGGAACATTGGAGATATGGGGACTCATCCTCAGCCTCCACACTTCCTGAAAGTAGGTTACCCCTTGACCAACATCTCCCCATCACCCCCCACCATACCCCTAATAACCACCATTCTACTCTCTGCTTCATGAATTCAACTTTCTAGAGTCCATATAAGAGTAGGATCATGCAGTATTTTTCTTGCTGTGACTGGATTCTTTCACTTCACATAATGTCCTCCAGGTTCATCCATATTGTTGCAAATGGCAGGATCTCCTTTTTTAAGGCTGAATGATATTCCATTATATGTATATGCCACAATTTCTTCATCCATTCATCCATTGACAGATGCTTAGGTTGTTTCCATATCTCAGCTATTGGGAATAATGCTGCAATGAACATGGGAGTGCAGATACCTCTTCGAGGTACTGGCTTCATTTCCATTGGCTATATATCCAGAAGAGTGATTGCTAGATGATACAGTGGTCCTATAATTAACATTTACTGATCAGACATCATGTGCCAAGCACAACACCAAGCATGCTGTATGTGCCAATTCAGGTAATCCTCCCAATCCTCTGAGTTAGGTGTTATTTTGATGGTCATCTCCATTTCATATGAGATAAATATAGAAGATTCAAACATTTGCCAAGTCACACAGAGAAGTGGCAGAGCCAGGCCTCAACCTTAGAGACCCTGGTTCCAGAGGCTCCTGGTTCCAGAGGCTCTGAACACAGAGCCACCCTTCCTCTAGGTGCTTTATGGAACTGTGAACTCACTCACAGGAGCATACTGCCCAGAGCGAGACTGTGAAAAGTTAGCAAAAACGGCCAATGAGGCACGAGGCTGAGCAAGCAGAGGAGCAGAGGTAGAAAAGCTCCACCTCTTAGAGGAAATGTTACCATAGGACAGATTGCAAACCAACCACTCAAATTCTCCTTTCCTTTCCCCATCATTCACTCCACAAAATGAGTGAATGACTGGATGAAGCATGAAAGACAACAATAAAAGAACTGGAAAAGTTAAAGCATTTGTAAGAGTGAAAAAAAAAAGCACCAGATCAGGCAGAAATGTTATAAAACAACAACCGGTCTCTAAATGATCAGCTCTCCAAATCTCCATTGAGTAACTAGCCTGAATTTTTCCAGAGCTTGCAGAAGGGATTATAAAATCAGCTCAGATTCCTTTAGAGATCAAGGAGAATTAGAGATGCCAGAAAGCCCAAGCACATCAAATATTTGGAAATGTTTAAAAGGGGAGAGAGCTAGACTTCAGAAATTACAGCCAAGTATGTTAGAGTATGTTATATGTTAGGATATAATGCCTTGGAATGTTAAAAACTCCTAGATATAATCCACAGGGATGCTATAGACTAATAAATGTTTCATTTGTGGACATTTCGTTCATTCAAAAATTATTTCTTGGGTCCCTGCTGTGTGTCTTCATGAAGCCTGTATTTTTAGTGGGGGATAGGTATAGGCAATGAATAACTGAACATACACAGGAATATAGACTAGGGTAACTATGATTACAAGCATCCACGATGTGGGTAAGGGATGCCAGTCATAGGATGATCAGAAAGGTCCCTCCGATAAGGTAACTTTTGAGAAGAAAGTGGGACACCTGAGTGTGTATGGGAAAAGTAATTTGGGCAATGGGAAGGGCAAGCACACCAGTCCTGAGGTGGGAGTATGTGTGGTGAGTTCACAGAACATGAAAGAGGCCCATATGGCTGGTATGGAGTGAAGGAGGAAGCAAGTATCATGGACAACATCTAAGAAGGGACAGAGGACCTGATTAGGTATGTAAGGACTTTGCTTTTATGGTGAGAGAAATGAGAGGCCCCAAAAGGCTTGAACAGAGCAATGACATGATCTTAGTTATACTTTAGCAGGATCACTACTGTTGCTTTGCCGAAAATGGGGTAAGGCAGTGGGGAGTGGGAAGCAGAGTGAGCAGTTAAAAAGCTTCTGCAATAATCTGGGCCAGATCACCCCCTACCCCCTCCCTTCATGGCAGGTGCTGGCCTTGTTCACGGTAATGCTCCTCTTGCCAGCACAGTGCTTGGCATAATGATGATGCTTGAATGAAATCTTTAGCAATGGCAGTCTTAACTCATGTGCTGATGCCAGGGGAGGAACCATGCATTCATCCACATTAAAAACAAAGTCTATGATAAAAGTCATGCCTCAGAGGTGATAGAAGAAGGCATGCAAATGGAAAGAGGCACCATTTCAAACCTTAGTTCATCAAGAAGATATGCTTTGCCTGCTGCCAGTTCCCTTCAAACCCATAAGCAAATCCCACTCCCTTCTCCTACCATGCAGGTCCAGATGGGCATGCAAAACCGGACTTAGAAAACTGAGACCCTGTCTTGTTTGTGTCCATGATGCTGGCCAACTGTGATCTTATCTTTCTGAGTCTCAGCCTCACCCAGCTTTTCCTGCATGGGCTGCTGTTTCTGGATGCCATCCAGCTTATATACTTCCAGCGGCCCTCTGAGGAGGCTGCTGTACGGACACACCTAGGTTTATTCAAAGCTTCTGCATCACCCAAGAGAAAGAACCATCATTCCTCTGCTCTTACAATGAGCCCTAGTGTGTATCCAAGAGATATTCCAAAGCAACAATATCCCTATTGTAAGTTTGCTGTCAGAAATTTTTACGCATTCACTGTGGGATAGATCTAGAGCAAGAGCCCGATGCCTTGTGAAGGAGAGGTCCTGGCTTATAATGTACACTGACCCTTCTCTGCTGGGTGGTATGTTGAGCCTTAGATTAACCAAGTGAGAAGAGACATCATATTGACCCTGACTCCTGTCATAACTGTGTCCTATGAAGTCAAGGGTGCATTTCTATTCCTTTCAGTCCTGGAGTTTGCAGTGGGGATCCTGACAAATGCCTTCATTTTCTTTATGAATTTTTGGGATGTGGTGAGGAGGCAGCCACTGAGCAACTGTGATCTTATCCCTCTGAGTCTCAGCCTCACCCAGCTTTTCCTGCATGCGCTGCTGTTTCTGGATGCCATCCAGCTTATATACTTCCAGCGGATGAAGGACCCACTGAGCCTCAGCTACCAGACCATCATCATGCTCTGGATGATCACAAACCAAGCTGGGCTCTGGCTCACCACCTGTCTCAGTCTTCTCTACTGCTCCAAGATTATCTGTTTCTCTCACACCATCCTGCTCTGCTTGGCAAGCTGGGTCTCCAGGAAGGTCCCCCAGATGCTCCTGGGTGCCATGCTTTTCTCTTCCATCTGCACTCTCCTCTGTTTGGGGGACTTTTTTAGTAAATCTGGCTTTGCATTCACAACTATGCTATTCATGAATAATACAGAACTCAATCTGCAAATTGCAAAACTCAATTTCTATCATTCCTTCATCTTCTGCACCCTGGAGTCCATTCCTCCTTTCTTACTTTTTCTGGTTTCTTCTGGGGTGCTGACTGTCTCTCTGAGGAGGCACACGAGGATAATGAAAGCCAAAACCAAGGACTCCCGTGACCCCAGCCTGGAGGCCCATATCAAAGTACTCAGATCTCTTGTCTCCTCTCTCTGCTTCTATGTGGTGTCATTCTGTGCTGCCCTCATTTCAGTGCCTTTCCTGATGCTGTGGCACAAGATCAGGGTAATGATCTGTGTAGGGATCCTAGCAGCTTGTCCCTCAATACATGCAGCAATCCTGATCTCAAGCAATGCCAAGCTAAAGAGAGCTGTGGAGACCATTCTACTCTGGGTTCAGAGCAGCCTAAAGGTAAGGGCAGATCACAGGGAGGATCCCAGAATTCCAGATCTATGTTGAGAGCAGACACGAAATGAGCTCTTCACAAATATGCCTCTGATAGTTCATAAAGCCTTCAGAAACCTATTCCAGTTTCTTCTGTAGACATAAGCGAGAGTCTCTCCACTTTATGTCAATGAACTCACCCATAGTAGAATAAAATCATTAAAGCTCTATCTGCGGCCTACGCAAGAATGACATGCATGGGTTCTTCAAGTTTGTTTTGAAAAAGAATGAAATAGGTGAGGTACTCAGTGTAAATGCTTTGTATACTATAGTTTATTCATGCTTGGTATGAAACAAACCATGAGAAATCACCTCTTATGAAATACTATCTAAACCCCAAGATAACATGATTGGCTTTTCACATGACTGCTAAACCTGTTTCTTAAAAAAGGCGCTAGCTTAATATTAGAAAATATTCACTACTATGGCAATTACATAACCCTCTTCAAACTCCACAAATTTCATGGATATGAAAAGACAGACTTGGAAGATCAAGTGTCATCACTTCAGCTTCAAGAGGTACTAAATTAAAACTCCTACACAAACCAGAGAATAGGGGTCATTTAGTCTGAAAATATGCAGATTCAGAAATGTGCACTCAACCCGCTTTATAGTAGGGGTAAAGAGTGGCAGATATTTGCTCAGTGGGTGCCCAGGATACCAACACTGGTGTGTGCCTTCTGGCTCTGCTCTATTTGCCCCTGAACACAGTGCTTTGCCTGGTACCAAGCATTGGAACCTACCAAAATAGCCTCACTGGAAACCATGTTTGTAGAGATTTGGCATTTTCTGCCTACCAGGAAGGCTCTCCTCAAATCAAATCCTACAACACTCCGGAGAGAAAAAGATATACAAGACATATAAATCTTGACAGCCTTCAAAAGCATGGCAGGTCACGCACAGAGGCTTGTAGCTCTGGCAGCTGTGGGAACTGCTGAGCAATGGCTTCCTCCTCTCTGGCACCCAATTCCTCCTCCCAGTTGTCCAAACCAACTAACCTCTTGTCCCCTCTGCTGGGTACACAATTTGTAACTTCATCTGGTTTTCTTTCCTTGGTGGACACCGAAGTTGTCCTAGGTTTCGCTCCAAGGCAGGGGTCCCCACACTTGGCTGCACATTAAAATCACCTGGGTAGCTTTTAAAAATCTCAATGCCCAGGCCACATACCAGGCCAATTCCATCAGATCTTTAGAGGTAGAACCCAGGAATCATTTTAAAGCTCTCCAGGTGATTCCAGGGTGCAGTCAGTGTTGAGAAACTCTGTTCCAGATGCCATTTCTCTTGAGCTGGATGATGTCAGACCCTCCGGTGGAACTGTATTGTGGCCTTTAAAAAAAAAAAAAAAGATCTTATTTATTCATTCATTCATTCATTCATTTTTTTATTTAAGAGAGAGAGAGCTTGCATGAGCGGAAGGAGGGGAAAAGGGGGAGGGAGTGGGACAAGTCAACTCCACACTGAACAAGGAGACCAACATGGTGGTCGATCTCATGACCCTGAGATCCTGACCTGAGCCAAAACCAAGAAGCTTAACCTATTGAGCCACCCAGGCACCCTGTATTATGCCCTTTTAACTCCACTTTCCCCTAGAGTACTTGGGAGGAATATAAGCATAAAGAAAATAATAGAGAACATCCCTTCTTGTTTTTCTTTCTTTCTTTTTGTATAAATTCTCTCTGAACCGGGCTCCATTACCTCTTACTCCTCTCCATGGCTTTGTTTTTAACATTATATTTTGATATAATTTCAAATTTATAGAAGAGTTGCAAGAATTCCATATACCCTTTACCCACATTCACTCATTATTTATGTTTTGCCCCATTTCTCTTTCCACTCCCCCACACAGATACCTCCAGTTCCAATCCAATAATACATGGTTCACTTTACTTTTCCTTTTTACACACTTGTAAATCCCTTCTCTAACCATGAGAAATATATTCCACATATGCTTAATAATTTGCTCATTTGCTTATGCCTAGAATACAGAGAATACGGTTTTGAAATTTCTATCCTATAGCACTGCAAAAGGCAAAAGGACTAACTAGAATTCAATATTTGTTTATAGTTTTTCATGTTTAGGTAAAATTTACATACAGCAAAAAGCAAAGATGCTAAATGTACAACCGTGTACAATGTGAAGTTTGATAAATGATACATGCATGTACCCAACACCCCAAATAAGTTGTGCAATATTTCATCAGCACAGAAAGATCCAGTATTCTCTTCCAGTCAATCCCCATCCACTATGGGCAACCACTATACTAAATTTCTTCCCACAGATTAGTTTTCCCTGTTCTTGTATAAATCCTGTAATTATTCCTTTGTTTCTGCTACTTTTGCTCAACATAATGTCTTTGATTCATCCTTTTTTTTTATTATGTTATGTTAAACACCATACATTACATCATTAGTTTTTGATGTAGTGTTCCATGATTCATTGTTTGCATATAACACCCAGTGCTCCAT